ATATATTTTTTTACATGAGCTATGTACATGTTTTACCTACTGCGCCCTCTCACGGCAATGTGGGCACAGAGTTTACCTGCTCGTGAAATCTGTGATTTTAGTGGTCTCTTTCCTATAACCATTATATGTTAGCTGAGGAAATGGCTCATTTACTCTTGCTCAGGGTAATCATGCAGTGTAAGTGCACAATTTGGCCATTTGCACAGAAGCCTGACCTTTCTTTAGGCTAAATTGCACATTGAAATCACCAGATTAAATGATATGTTAGACACAATAATTGGCGCAGTCTACAGGTAGGTTTTTCCATCTCATGAGGAAAAGATATAAGTGGTGGATAAATGGACTCAGGCTTGGGGTAAGCAACCCAAATGACCGCGCTTCCAGGGTGGTATTACAGGTCGCCGCAATGTTCCTTGTTTCTGCTCCTATGCACTGATGTGTCAGTGCGTTATGCTTAACGTACCCGCGATGATTTTGAGCCTGCTGAGAGCGGCAGACTGGCATTGCAGTGAGCTGTCTGCCACCTGCGCAGTGAGCAACAAAATTCTCTGTTCTTTTTTTTTCTTACTAAATATATATCAAATGTTCCTACTTGCTTGCCAAGCGCCCACTTATGTGTGTGATCATATTTGTAGATACTGCACGTGTACCTTTTCATATAGAAATATTGCTAAAAAGGTTTCTTTACTTCAAACAGAAAAAAGACCATCTCTCATCTACTCCCCCTTAAATGGACCCTGATGCTGGTATAATACATTTCCACCAGATATCCCTTGTAAAAGATTAAGTTGTATATTATTTAGGGCTGGGGAAATTAACGATTAATTTCTCGATTAATCGTTAATCTTTTTGATCGATTTAAATTTTTTTGATCGCTAATGAAAAAACTCACCTCTCCGCCGGCTTCTGATCACGGACATCGACGTCACCGGACTCCTCCCCATTTCCACAAGAGGTTCCGTCGGCTAACGAAGGAAAGGGGGGAGGAGTCCGGTGACGTCGATGTCCCCAAGTGGCTCCGTCGGCTAACGAAGGGAAGGGGACGTCACTGGACTCCTCCCCCCTTCCCTTCGTTA